GTGATGGTGATGATGCGATGTTAATGATGTTATGGTGAAAATGTGATGTTGTGATAGTGATGATGTGATGGTGATGATGCGATGTTAATGATGTTATGGTGAAAATGTGATGGTGATGATGTGATGGTGATGATGCGATGTTAATGATGTTATGGTGAAAATGTGATGTTGTGATGGTGATGATGTGATGGTGATGTGATGGTGATGATGCGATGGTAATGATGTTATGGTGAAAATGTGATGATGTGATAGTGATGATGTGATGTGATGGTGATAGTAATGATGATGATGACAGTTAATGTGATAATGATATTGAGGATGATGGTGGGGGTGATGGTGATGATAATAATGTTGATGATGATAGTGATGGTGAAGATTATGATATTTTTAAAAGATGACTATGATGATCATGATGATCATAATGATTGTTGATGGCGTTAATTTTGTTGAACATTTTCTCGTACTATAATCCTAATTACAGACCTTACTTAGTTCCCTGGACTGTATCTACAATGCGCAAAACTCTGGGGAAAGGTCAGTTACTATAATCATCCATCTTCTCGTACATCCATTTATATTCTCACCTCTAAAACATTTTCTATTCCTAGATTTCCATGTGTTTTAGATGACTGGATTCTTTAATCCTCAGGAATACTTGACAACCATGAGAAAGGTAAGGCACCTAACGTTACATCATTTATTGTCTGACATTCTACCAGACTGTATTCTTAAATCCTCAGGAATTCTTGACACCTAACGTTTCATCATTACAATCACGCAATCATGTATTTAACTCAGTCATATCACATCATATCACAAGAGTAGTATTTGTCACACCAGTTACCCACCACCAACCAAGCAAGGTCCTTATGTAGCAGCTCTATTTACCTATTCATTACTATATGAACCATTCAGAATCGGAACTAAGTAATTCAAATTCCTCTTATTCACGTAGTCAGTAATGTAGGCATCCAGCAGTAAAACATTTCGCTCGACGTTCACTCACTCAATCACTGACAAGTTCTAATCTTTGTATGTTACTGTTGTGTTTACAGTAGTCTCTCGTGCGCACAAACACTGGGCACTAGACTGCGTAGTCCTACACAATGACGTCACACGGTTCTCAAAGATGATATCACAAGTCCCCCAACTGAAGGTGTCTACGTGCATGGATTGTGTCTAGATGGAGCAGGATCAGGGTTCGACGAAGCTGTAAGCTGATAGAACCTGCATTTAAAGTCCGCTTCTCCTCTATACCTGTGGTTCATAATTATGCGAACAACTCTACCGCGGTAAGGGACAATCGATTGTACCATTGTCCTATTTATAAGAAGCAGCGACGCACAGACCTGACGTATGCTTCCTGCGTGGACCTGAACACCAATCAGAACCCAGATCACTTGATACTACGTGGAGTGGCTTTGCTATGTGATATCAAGTAAAACAAGTACAAAAACATTTATTGATAGAGATCATATAGAGATTATTCGATAGTTTTTTTAGATAATCTATAGACATCTCCTTAGATTGATTATGCAGCAGTTTTCGTTTCAATGTGAAAAGCTCGGGGGATGAACGCGGTCCTCATACGCCCAACGGATCACGTTGCGCGAGGAGAAAAAAAAAAAAACGCAAATAAAATGTCTAGAAAACGTCGTGGTTGCCATACAACGCCATACGACAGTATTCGACGCCATGTATATAAAAATCATACGAAATCTGCTTTAGCAGAATGCGTTTTACTGAAAAGGCAAAGGACGCGCCTATATACCGCCTGTCCAGATCATATTTCTATGTGCACCATTTTTCTATAGAGCTATTAAGTGTGAYGTAATTATAACGAAAAACGACTTCCGGGTCCAACTTAATAATTACTTCTACAGACATTTTTATATGTTTTTTTCTTCATAGCATGATTTTCTGTTCGTATGTCTAATTGTTGGAGGTAGAGAATGAATCCTGGGAATAAGTTGTGGCAAGATATTAGCAATCTCTTGCGTGATTGGATCCGGAAATACGTCACGACTTAAAAGCCCTATAACATATGTTAGTCTGTATTATTTATCACGAGCTTAGATTTCGTTGCCAGAAAAACAAGTAAGCCACAAAAGAATTTCGTAGACCACAGAAATAGATTTTTWAAAATAATGGATGGTAATACCACAGGCTAACCACTCTAACAAAGGACGGAAATACTCTAATAAATGAAGGAAATACTAAATGGTGTCTTGTCTTTGTCTTTTTATGCAATATACTTAGTATAGTAGAAAAACAAAATTGTTACCAAGGGGGGTAGGGGAGATGACAAAAAAATTGATAGCACGCGCATAAAAAGACAAAGACAAGACACCATTTAGTATTTCCTTCATTTATTAGAGTGGTTAGCCTGTGGTGAATGTAAGAAGAAAGGGAAGACAGATCAAGTGAACAAGTGTTTATACATTGCATTTACACCTGCCTTTGTTCAAGATATTGTATTATATTGCATGAAAATATGTTAACATAGCTTATAATATAATGTGAAGCCAGTACAGCTGAGTTCTCTTTGTACAGTAAATGATTTATTTCTATGTTAACTGATTATAATTTGAGTAGTGTGAACAATGGAACATACCCCTGCGTTAGGACCATGGTCAGACCATGGTCAACCATGGTTAAAACATGACACCTAAATCCAAAATGGTGCACGGCCAGTTGAAAATGAGGCATCCATGGCCAAATTTACAAATTTACAGTATTTTCTTATAAATTAATGCTGCAAAATTGTCGCGTGAATGTAAGAAGAAAGGGAAGACAGAACAAGTGAACAAGTTTATACTTTGCATTTACACCATATTATCTCTTTGCATTTGACCCTGGATGCCTCGTTTTCATGTAACACACTCGACCATGTGTCATTTTGGATTCATTTGTTTAGGCGTATTAGCTCATAGATGTAGAATATAGAATATTTTTTTAGGAATTAATAGGAATACTTAGGATTTATATAAATGTAATACCAATCTAATGTATGTAATGTAACAGTCTAATGTATACCAATAATAGAACATTGAATAAGTTACTTGTGTGGTGTTATTATTAACGTCCCCATAACACAATTGCCACAACATGACCAACACACCCATTGACCCAACAACATGTGCAACAGGCGTGTAATGTTTTCCCATTTCAGACCACATGTTATTCCCTACAGTAGTTTCTTTGTTTAATGGCTGTCGTGAGAAGACACATGATATGGATACAACTCAAAAGA